ACCTTTTCCCCACTGTTCATATTAAGCTCAGAGAAGAATTCTTTAACAAAAATAATGCACATACACGACAATGATTTTGGGAGTTCGTGGACACCAGGTCACTGGGGATTTTTGAAAGAAAACCTAAAGAGAGATGGTGGAAGTCAGCATGTGGAAACCACCTATTTTATAGGATCTCATGCTCTCAGGCCCCAATTCTCAGGTGCAGGACTGATGCAATGAGCAGGTAGTTCTCTCAGGATACAACTTTAGTGCGCTCACTTTCTGTACAGCTGGCAGGGATGATCTGTGATAGACCTCATTCTTTTAGTTTTCTAACTCTACTCCTATTTCTGGAGTTTTCTCTGTAGCCACATCCCACCTCAGAAGAAGAACTCATCCACTTTTCCAGCATTGGCTGCAGAGTTACAGTATCGAGACTACAGCCACACCACATGGAGCAGCATTCCATGGAGCACAGCACACCACATTGCATTCTGAGTCCCATCCCACTAAGGAGATGGGTTCCAGCACCACCACCTGCTTCTCCTTCCTGGAATAGCTCAAGGAGTCAATGCACTGAGAGATAGAGCTGTTCTCAAAATGAAGCCAACAGGGAACAATATTGCTGCTGGATGTGGGAAAGACGTAATCCATCTAATGCCATGGAAGAACATTAGTGGGATTGCTTGGAGCATCTTCTGAAGACACTTCTGGATTGAATCAAATTTGTGCTTAGCTCTTTCCCTATTCTTCTCAAATCTTCTGCAGTCCTTCCAGCCATTACTTGTCTCCCCTGCTTCTGCATCTTGCTCTGAAAAGTGATGTCTCCCTTGCCAGGGTCTGCAATAGCACCCTCACCTCCCACATGGCAGCTCTGCAGGAAGCCAACTCCATTCCACCCTGCCCTTGGTCAGCCCAGAAAAAACAGGGCTGGTCTCTCCTTTCCCTTTATAGGTGGGAGTGTAAACCCCCCTCCTTAGGGCTGCCTGCCTTGGCCTGAGTGCTGGTGTCGACCAGACTGCCTGACTCCACGGGCAGATGGCAGAGAATTCCACAGGGAATTCCCTGGAAACAGTGCCTGGGGGTCAGGAGATGCTCTGCTCACCAGGTAGCAGCCCTAGCAGTGCCTAAAGGAGGGGCAGGGCTCTGGTCATCACATAATGGTGCTGACAGATCCAGTTCAAGCTTTACAGAGCCCCCTGACTCCCTGCAAATGCTCTGCCATGAGAGGACTGGGAGAGGGCAGGGAAAGGCAACCTCTGCAGCATCCTGCCATTCCAGGGAGCTTGGATTTGCTGTAAGGACAGGCTCAGCAAGAGCACTCAGAGGTGGCCAAGGCCACTTCACAGCCACCTGCTCACACCTGGGCTGGTATTCCTTGCTCCTGGAGACTTCAAAGACTCACCTTTGACAGCCTTCAACAAACATGAAATCTCCACCTTACTGATGGCCTTATCTCAGTGCAGGAGATAACAAACTGAGGTAGAGAGAAAAAACACAGAAGGGCTCCCCTGGAGAACCAACAGTTAGAAACTCAGAGCTCCTCCAAAGGGACCATCAGCTCCTCTTTCCCCACAGCACTGAATTACTGCCAATATTCAGAGTTCTTGTGTTCTAGATGACCAGTCACCTCATGCCTTGTTACAAGTGGACAAGTCACATCGTGCCTTTCCTTGGAAGAAGAGCTGGACCTTTCAGAGTCCTCTTCTTCCCTGTGTCTGTTAGAAGCCTGAGATAAACAGGTTAATAATTTTTAAAAAGACAAAAAAGTTGCACAGAAAAGCACCAAGCACTCTTCTTCTGAGTTTTCATATTTTAATTCCTCTCCTAGTAATATAAATCCACCATAAAGCCTGAAGAAGAGAAGGTTGTAGGGAGAACTTACTGCAGCTTTTCTGTACTTAAAGGAGGTTAAAAAAAGATGGGGACAAACCTTTTAGCGTGATGTAATGGTTTTAAACTAAAAGAGGATAAATTTATACTTGATGAAAGATTGAAAATTCTTTTCTGTGAGGGCACTGGCACAGGCTGCCCAGAGAAGTTGTGGCTGCCCCATTCCTAGAAACATTCAAGGCCAGGTTGGATGGGGCTTAGAGCAGTCTGGTCTAGAGGAAGGTGTTCTTGTTCACAGCAGAGGGTTGGAACAAGATGGTCTTGAAGGTCCCTTCCAACCTAAACCATTCTGTGATTCTACGATAAACTTCAGTGGTCCACAGAAAACTTCAGCAAGACCAGAAAACTCAGGACCTACAACTTTTCTGTGTGGACACACAGAGGCACCAAAAACCCACAAGCAAAAAAACCCCAAACAACACATGGTCAGAAGTAAAAAAGTTAATGTTTCTTGATCCTTCTTCAACATAACACCAAGAATCCACAAAGAAACACAATACAATTTGTTTTTTCTGAGTACTGGTCACCTTTGACAGAGAAGTCACCCCTATACAACACCTGCCCTGTCTCCAGTTTTCATCAGCAACACGTAGAGCCTCAGTGGCCTCAGCAGCTGCACATGTTACTGTGAAGTCAGAAGTTCTGCCCAAAACAACTCCAAGCCCTTTGGTCAACACTGGCCATGAACACACACGTGGCAACATCCAAGCGAGGGAGAAAACACGAGGCTTGGGGATCCTGAGAAGGCTCCATCAGGTGGTCTCTGCTCAGAAATGCTGGTGTAGGTGCAGTTATATATCCAGATGCAAAGGCAGGGAACAAGCCCTGTCCACCTCTGGAGCTCTTGCGTTCACCACCAGCTCTAGCCGAGAACATCAACAACCTGCTCCGGACCGTAAGACACTTTCTAAGTGATCATGGGACATAAAAGAGCCTAAATTCAAAGCAGGTTTTCAACTGAGGGGGGAGGACTCAAAACTGCTGACTGAGGAGCAGAACAAAGCCAGATGGCATGTGCTGGTATTGCTGGGGATTATGCCGTGTAAGGCAATAGGAAATGAGTGGAGGTAAAGACCCAGTTTGGTCCCACAGCTCCTCTCTGGCCAAACATACCGGGACAACTGTGAAACAATCAGTTTATGGCTTTCATTCCCCTCCACCCCCAGACTGAACTTAAATATTTGTATAAGCCCAGGCATAACTTTTATCTGATGTTTTCCTTGGGGTTTACTAGCTGTTTAGAGCATTCAAGCTAAAAAGCATTCCCTCAAACTCCTGCCACAAAGAGAGCTGAAACTATGATGCTAATTAAAACCACACTCTTTGGTATCAAGAAGACATGCTATTATTTTCTTTTTTTTTTTTTTTTTGCTCATGGAGAAGCTGTTAATATGGGCAACACGTCTGAAACATTTTCTTTCCAAAGGCCATGTCCCATACCCCCTCTGGCTCAGGTTGGCTGGTTTGGGAACTTGTCAGCAGGCTGGGGTGGGAAGGCTCATATTTACAAGAATAGACTCATTTATTTTCTCTAACTAACCATTTGCCAGCTCAATGCTATGAAAAGCACATCAGGGGGAAGAAAAAGGGTTCGTGGTGTGTGAAAAGTGACGAGCTAAAGAACTGTCCTGCCTTGGCACCCAGTGGGCAAAATCAAGGGATGAGTCTTAAATACATGCTATATGCAAATATAATGTATGTTTTCAAAAACAGGTGCTGACTTTGCCAGGATGCTCCTGGGCACTTAGCACAGAGCAGGAGAGGTTGTGGGCTGCACAGTGTGCCATTCCTGATCCACCTGGGGAAAGGTCTACTAAAGAAAAAGGTAAGATTTTGTGCTCCTTTTACCCTGTCTAATTTGAGTGCTTCAAAGCTCTCCATAACTGTGGTATCAGCACCTCCTAAACATTAACAAAATCATCCTTATAACACTGCAGGGAAAAATGGTATCACCCCATTTAAAGGATGGAAAATTAGAGCAAAAAAAAAGAAATCAAAGTCAGGTTTGTGTCCAACGCAACCTTTGAAAGCATCCAGTGAGTATCCTGAGAGGCTAAATCTGGTTAAAACAATGAAGCCTGGACAGAACATCCACACTGCTCCCAAGGAACACCCAAGTGGGAGGAAGGGGGGATTGCTGGGGAAGGCAGTGTCCCACAGGTGTCACACCCCGGGACAACAACAGTAAATAATTTTTCACCAGAGCCATTTGGTTTCTGGTTTCTGTTTGGGAGTGTGGCTTTTGCTGCCTTGACTCAAAACAAAACTCAGCTTTCCTTTTTCACAGCCGCAAAGACGCTGGATTTGAATGCCTGGTGGTGCAAAGTGTGGGCAGCAGGGTTTGGAAGGCTGGGACGTTTTATTTTCCTTTTATTTTGGTGGTAATTTAGCTTTGCACAAGCCCCTGCCTGGTTAGCAAGCCTCCAGCTTCGCCAACAACACAGAGCTGCCTAAATTACAAAAACAAATTAATACACACAAAAAAATGACCTCAGCAAAGAAGTTAAGCTGGATGGGTAAACACACTGTAATTTGTTACATGCTTCCATTCGGGGGGGGATCCAAAGTAACAAGAAAAATTCCTGTAACACTGAACAGTGAGGCCCAGCCCCAGCACAATGTTGGGATTCCAGTATGAGCTCTGTCACACCAACCTCTGGCTCACCACTGAGAGGACGAGGCCTTATGTTGCCTACACACCACCCCCCTCCCCAGCACAGTGCTCCACTTGCCCTTTTATTTTTCATTTCCCCCTAAAAGGAATTTTTTGGGGGAAATTCATGCTGGCATTTTTCCCCCCAAAGAAACACCAAGTGAGGAAGTTATTGTGGAGTGCCACCCACGGCACTGGGATGCTGACACGACATCTCCTGGCAGTTGAACACAACTGGGAAGCACAAACCCATCCAGATCCGAGGCACCACTGGAGATCCCAGCCTGGCTGGGGGATGTTTGCAGGTGTTGGGGAGGCTGGGAGGGCACGGGCAGCCTCACAAACCCCACATCCCCTCCATCCTGCTTCTCATTTTAGGCTGACAGGCGAAGCTTGAACACATCGTTACAGCCTTGAGGAGGCTGCTAAAGGTAACACTCAGGTTACAAATTAATTAATAGGAAACACTTACCTTCCCCACTAGCTTGCCTTTCCTGTTCATGCAAAGGTAGAAATCTGTCTCCTTCCCTTTGATCCGGACTTGACTGCCAAAAGTGTCTGTTTCCACTAGAAGCTGGGCTTGTAAAGGAAGAAGAAAAAAAGAAGCATTTACCAGTGTGGTCCCATTAAGTCATAGGGTGTAACATGCACCGTCCCATTGCCTCCAGCTGAACCTCCCTGGGATGCTCTGCACAGGAACAACCCAAGGGACCACCCTGGGGCTGAGCTCACAGCTTAGCCACAGGTGCAAAACTGACACCTCCCCACTAACTCCTGTGTGGATAGCCCAGGTTTAGTGCTGGTTTCGACACAAAGTAGTCACGTACTCGTGTGTGCTCCATTCGTCCACACCAACCCCATCACCCCAGCAGCAATATTAGCTCGATGCTAAAAAACCCTCTGAGGTCATGGAGTCCAGCTGTTCCCCCAGCACTGCCACAGCCACCACTAAACCGTGTCCCCAGGTGTCACATCCATACACCTCTTAAACAGCTCCAGGGATGGTGACTCCACCACTGCCCTGGGCAGCCCATGCCAATGACAGTGCTCTCCTTCACACTGCAGGAGGGTAAGAACACAGATTTTATTCTCATGAAGATGTAAGATTACCACGACAAGGCAGAAAATCCTTTCCCCGTAGCCAGCATCCCTCAAACACTGCACAGAAGCGGTCATGCCATGTGCTCCTGGTGCAAAACATCACAGAGATTCCTGAAGAGCACCACCACAGCCAGCAGGGGAGAAATTTGGCACTGCTTGTCCTTGTCTGATACACACCCACGCTTGCTGATGTCCTCCACGTCTACCTGTGCTTCCAGGATGTCACAAACTGCCTTCTGGCAGTCCAGGTCCAGGTCTTCAGCTCTAGCTAGCAATCTCACAGTGTTTCACATATTTACTGATGCCAGACCTGGTTTGCAGCATCACCAGGAGCCACGGGAGAGGACAGATCCCTGCTGCATCTTCCCAAACCACCTGCTCTGACACAGCTGTATCTGCAGAAGGGGCCAAGCTGCCCCCCTGGTGAGCAGCGAGCCATCACCATCACCTCAAAAACCCAGACACATCCAAGTTCAGCCTTTTACTCCAGCTCTAATCTAAACACAAATTCCAGTCGTGCTCAGGATTCAGATTCCAGGAGTTTCCCCGGAGAGGCAGGAACAGGCAGACTGGACATTTTGGTTCAGATCCATCCCCGATACGGAGGGGGAGAAAGGAGACATGGTTGAAACACAATGCAAGAATGTGTAAGTGTCAGCAAGTGCAACTCCACGGTCCTGCTCTGGAAATACTCACGCTTGTGAGATCCCAGCCTTGCCGTCGAAACACGGCCTTTGCCAAACTCTGGAGAATGTTTGATCTGTGCTGCTAAAAGTCACATTCTTTTTGGCATTCATATTTCAAGCTTTAAAACCCTCTAAGAGCAAATACGTTCATTGTAAGGATTTACCACGGGGATAGAAATGGGAGTTTGTTTCATTTAAACACATTAATATTTTTCCCACTTGTAAAGTCAGCTTTTGGCTTCTGCAGCAGTGCAAATATCCCAAACCTTTTACTCACAAGGGCCCTAAACAGAATTTTCCCTTTGCAGCTCAGTCACATCTGCAAGTTCAGGAGTTTCCAGTTAAACCTGTTATCACAGAGGATATATAAATTGTAAATTTTTTCTGAAAGCAAGTGGAGTAATACCAGTCTTACAGCAGAATATTAATTGCAATCATGCACAAATATGAGTATTTAGTAAAGTTTTTCAGGAATGCATCATGGGTTTGGGTGTCCATGGAGAGCAGCTTGCAAGGAGCAACTGGGTGCTCCACATTTTCTCCCCCCACCTGCCAAGGTGGCATCAAACCTGTGACCACCTCTGTGAGGAAAGGCCACGAGAGCCAGAAATAACCCATCGCAGTGAGGATATCAAGGTGAGACCAGCCAGGATGGGGAGGATGGCACAGGGCCAAAGAACAGTCCCCAAGGATGACCAACGTGGTAGATAACCCGGGGAATGCCCACTGCTCCGAGAAGGTCAGGGAGGCTGCTCAGATGCAACACAGCATTAATAGACAAGGGAACAGCAAAAAAAAAACCCACCTGTCTTTAAAGAGGTGACTCTGAAAGGGGTTCCCCTAACATGAGCAGAGGGCTAATGGTCAACCTCAGAGAAGGGAGAGCAGCAGTCAGCACATGAGTGAAGCACCAAGGAGCTGCCCACAGATCCACAGCGTCAAAACCACCCAGGCACACAAGCAGATGCGGGGCCACCCACCGAAGGGGTCAAGCGAGGGCTCCACACCGGCAAGAACAGGATGCCACGAGTTCCCTTCTAATCTGCAAGGCATTTCCCAGCCATTCCAGCCTCGGTGCTGCAGCTAAAGCTGCTGAGAAGAACGGTGAGCATCAGACACCAGCTTTGGCCAGCCAAACCAGGAGCTGATGGTGACAAAACAGTCCAGCACAAGAGCCTGGAGCTGCAGTCCCCACGGACAGGCAGCAGCTCTCACCTCTCTGACACAGGTCCCCACGGGCAGCCCACGCTCTGATGGACAGAGGGCACGCTGGCTCACACTCCCCACCCCCTTGCTCTGCAGCCAGTGTGAGTAATATCCAAGCTGATTTTAATTTGAAAAATATCACCTTAAAAAGATGCCGGTTCCCTGCTGTGAAAATTAAAACCATCTGGATGGAGTGATTTCAAATAATTAATCTAGGTCTCCTTTGGCACCCCGCTACTAATTAAAATATGATACCTTCCTCCCCCTTTTTAAATAAAAAATTTAAATAAAGTTTAAAGATCTAATAAAATAATGTCATAATTTAGAACTAAATGGAAGTCACCTTTCCCGTGGGCTGCAAAGGTTACAGCAGTGCTGAGATCCCTCCTGGGCTGGTGCCACAACCCAGACTGAGCAGCAGTGGATAAGTAGCATCCAATGAGACACCCATGCTAGCAAACACACCAACACCCACAGCCCAGCGCCCCAAGGGGCCTGCAACCCCCAGAGATCATCCTGCACCCGATGGCCAGGCGTGGGGAGCACAGGGAAGGAGGTTCAGCAGATGATGTCTGATCCCTGCCGTGACCCGAGCTGCCCCAGTACAGGCCAAGGCCACCCAGAGGTACCCACTTCTGAAAAATCTGAGTCTTAAGATATTGGAAACATCTTGTTTTTAGGGATTCTGGGCTATCTTTCCTACAAAGGGAGACCAGTGAGGCTTTAGGGTGGGTTATAACCCAGTTAGCTCCCAGTCTGCAGCACCCCTGACAGCTGATGCCTCTTTGTACAACAGGCATCTCCCTAAATTCTCTGAATAGCAGGGACAGGGACCTTGAACAACACATTTAATATCAGCTGAATGCTACAACAAGATCTCCTGGGGGTTGGAGGCTGACACAGCACAAGGGGTTGCTGGTGTCTCCCACCCACTCACAGGCAGCAGCAGAAAAGCTCAGTAACCACTAATATATTTTAGATTAATTCATCTGTTTCCATGATAAAGATGCCATGCCCACAGTGAAAGTAACAGGGAAAATCCAAGAGAATTTCCACGGAGAGCTCAGGTAAAATGAGTCCCACCATGCTGGAACAATATCCCCACAGGACTCTGCTGCTCAGCACACCTGAATTCCAGCTCCATCCACCCCTGGATACACTGTACAGAGATTAAAATCTTTATTTTCAAAGGCCCTGTACTCCAATCTCAGACCAGGTATTATTGTTTAAATTCTTTGACAACTAGATATTCTGATATGTTTTCTGGGGGGTAAAGAAAAAAAAAAAAAAAAGAGAAAATATGTCTTTAGAGGGTGAGATCTCCTACTACATGCTTTTGCCTTATTGGTCCATTTAACCTAAACCTTCCTGAAAACTCCCACTGGAAGAGACTGGAATTCCTCACAAGTCTAGGTGAAAAGGATTACATATATATATATATATATATATATATATATGTCGAAAAGCTATCTTCCAGCTAAGAAAACATGAAGTCAGGGAGATATGTGAAGGTGGCAGAAAATATGCCAAATTATCTTTCAAATATTTCCTGGGAGTGGGAGGACAGGAGGCAGAAAAGCACAGGGAAAGAGAGGAGAAAGAGGACACCTGAGAAGTGTAAGGTTTACGTGGTACCTATCACAAAATCCTCAGTTTCAGATAAATAAAGAGAGAAAGGGGGAAATGCAAGGAGGGTGTAGAAGGACTGGGCACCCTGAAGGGAGTCAGCTAACACAGATTTCCAGGGGGAAAGGCTCTCACAGGGGACCAAGATTCTGTTGCTTTAGTTGCACTTTTTTTAATGAAACAAAGTCAGGGAAACCATTCTTAGACTTGAAACCATTTCCAGTGGATGAAGAGGAAGGATGTACTGATCCTGTGAGGCTGGGAGCAGAGCACCTGGGATAGAGAGCAGCTTTCCCACTCTGTTACTCTGGTGCTACCAACCAAGACAAAGCACCTTTCCACAGTTCACAGTGTACACACTGCATCTGATGGGAGAGCAAAATCCACTCTCTGGTAAGACTGAATCTTCTCGTGTGACTCCCAGCACAGGCAAAGGTGCTTCAAGCAGCTGAAACCTGTTCAAACGCTGCCCACTCGCTACTAAAACCACCAGAATCCCTTGCATGACCACAACATAGGAGGGAATGACCCTGTCTCCACGTTCATGATGTAATGATGGGGGAATAATGCCAAAATTAGGTAAAGTCTGGAGGGTCCAACGAAGCCCACAGTGAGGGAATCTAGGCTGCATCCCTAAGTTTTGTTTGCACACTTGCATGGTCCTGCAAACTGTATGATATTTAACAGTTATAAACCATAGGGCCCAACTCCCTTCTCAAATATTCAGGTGCAAATCAGGAGTAACCACCCCAATCAGCGAGGCTGGTGCTCAGGAGGGCAGAGCTCTGACCCACATACCACTGCAGTGAGCTCATCTCGTCTGTCCTGAGCGAGCACAGCATATGTATGTCCAATTATTAAAAGGGATGTTGGTGGGGAGGAGCAGTAAGAGCAGCTCCAAGATCCAACCTCCAGTTATTTTTTCTTTTTTAAGCCACCACTTTGCACGAGCCAGGAAAG